GGAAAAAATATGTAATATTATAATGAAGTCTGTGCCTCTATTCTGCCATCTGTGAAGTGATAAATAACTATTCTGGCTGTTTCACTGGAAAGGCTAAAAGACAAATAAATGGAAGTGAAAAATGTGAAATTATAGATCCTTTATTTCTCCAGCTGTTGGGGTAATTACTTATGGATCAATCTTCCTTTAATCTCAGTGTCTCACCCACAAACAATTTCTACCACTTTTTTCTTGAAGATCTCACTTTTTCCACAACCATGAAGCTATACATGGCTTCTCTCTCTCATAGTTAGATTATTGTCCTAGCTTCAGCTCCTCCTTGTTCTTACCTGTCTTAGAAAAAGGCTTCTAGTATAATCTTTACTGGCCAACACTTTTTTTTTTTAATTACTTCACTCTCATCTTCAGAATCTACAGATAGTTGCTCCTTGTTGCCTATCAAATCCAAATTACTCAGGTAGCTGTCTAAGCTTTCCCGACTGCTTGTACGTGCTCCTCAAGGTTATTTCTCGTTACATCCCCACTCTTCTCCAAGAAGCAAGTGTGCCACTTTTATTGTTCTTCGTGCACATGCACACACACACACACACACACACACCCCTCTGCTTTTGCTTATTCATTCCTCAGCTTTTAATGACAGCAGCTATGGTACTCTGCTAGATTCTAGGTTACAACATGAATAAACATAGTCTCACCCCTAAAGGTTTGCATGAGCTGGTATATGACAGGCAGGAGTGTCTGCAATACCGATGGTAAACACAATAATAGAGTCCTAAATAAGGTATAGAGTGGTAAAGAGAGGAATAAATATGAAGACAAACTTATAACTTCATTTTGTTCACATAAGAAGGAGCTATTTTGGTTTGTAAGTTCTATGAAGGCAAAGACCTTTCTTTTTATTATGTAGTTACTTCAAAAGTATGGGTCGAATAAATTGACCCTGAATTGACCATCAGATTATCCTGAAGTAACAAGATATCCCTGAAATTTCCTTCTACAGAGAGAGTTGATGATAGAAGCAGATGTATTTTTCTAAATGTTAAACTACCATCTTGGTGTGGTTGGAAGTACACCGGAGTAGCAATGAGAACACCTGAGATTTAGTCCTGACTTGTCCCTAATGAGCCTAATGACTTAGAACATGAAATTTCACCTCACTAGGTGTCATCCATTTTTTCTCTAAAATGAATAGATTGGGCTAGATGTCCCTAATTTCTTCTCCTGCTCTTATAATCTACAATTCTCTGTGTCAGCATTCCTTTATTCCTTCTAAGATACACAATAATAGAATCCACAGTGTGTACGTCACTAGATCTTCTGATTTGTCTATGTCGCAGATATTCAAATCTCATGTCTAAGCTGGATTGCAGGATTTTGCAGCTCGAATCCTAAGGGTAACACACTCTGCTGTGCTTCCCTGCTGTAATCCTGGAGATGCTGGCAGGGAGGAGAGAGTGCAGCTCCTTGAGATTTCGGCTGGTCCCACGGGCAAGCCGGAATCCACATCATGCTTGGCATGTTTGCTGGCAGTGAGACTGGAGTGACGGAGTGAAGACTGAGACTGAGCTAACCTGACGGTTTGAGAGCTTAAAAGCATCGATTAGTGAATGTGCAAGAATCTGACCTTCCAACTGCCTCCACTTTGTGGTTTTGTTTCTACATGAGAGTTAAAAAAAAAAAAAAATGAGGAAACCTTATTCTTTCATGCTTCGTAGTGATTATTCTGCCAAAACAAAAGGGGACATGAATTTACAGGTGCCTGTGAGTATAATTATAAAAGTATTACACACGAGGAACTAAACTGAGGAGGAAACACTAGCATAGAATTCCCTGTGTGCCGTCAGCACATTTTCTCACATAAACAGCTTTGAGAGAATCAGCCTCCACTGAGGGGAGCACAGACACCTTCTGTGGTGCATGTATCACGCTGCTCATTGACAGACAGTCATACTGCATTTTCTGATTAGGTGACAAAGCAGTGTCCCATACATAGTAGTTGCTGCTAATGAAAATTTACATAAGGAACCAAAGGAAATTAAATACATGTGAAGACGATCGTTTTGCACGTTTTTTTTTTTAATTTGTGGTAATAAAAAAGGGTGAATTGAAAATCTAAGGAAAAATACCTGTTGACTTACTTTTTAAAAGTGAAATACGCTAAATAAGTAGTCATGTTTATAAATACAAAAAGGTACCTGAACATTTTATTTTGACAATATGTAACAAGAGAGACACATAATATTAATCTATCCTAATTCTGTAGGGTTGTGATGAATGGGCTATAACACTTAATTAGTGCTAGTTATGCTTATATGTTTTTTGTGAAATTAAATTCATATTGTATAAAGGATATGATGATAATACTTATGGCTGGTTTTTTTGCTATAATAAATATAAATATGAAAAGTAGAGATAAGCACCAGGGAAAGAAACTCAGAAAGTATTATGCACTTATCTTTACTTAACCATTGGCAGTGTTTTGGATGCTTATAATTGTCAAAGGTTATCAGATTTGCTTCAATAAGTCAACTGTTCTCAAAATCTCGTGTATCTGAATAATCCCTTCTTGAACTTAACTACCCTTCTGCTTTCTCTTTCTTCTTTTCCTTCTTAAATATATTTGAGAATATATGGCACTTTAGTTAATGGGAAATGTTTGCAATTTTATTTAATTTTTCAGTCAAAAGAAACCATATAAATAATATAATTCACATGATAGCAAAGCAAGTCTTTTAGTAAAAAACATTTACCCTTGAGCATTATTTAAATACTCTTATAATAAGCTATGTTTTAATAATATATATAAAAATTCCTAAACATATATAAACTACAGCAACAATAAGAAAAATTTGTGAACTCTATGCAGCCTTTTCTGCTTAATTCTGTCATTTATTAAGAACTTCCTAGAAATTTGCATCTATGATGCTATTCAAAATTAAATTAGTAGCTCTAATTTTCATTTATATCTCCAATCAACCAGCATAGTATTTTACATTTAACAAAAATTCAATCAATATTTAGAATCACCATGTTGACCGAATCATATTGGAGCTGGCATATCTTTGATTATATAGTCACTCTTTAGCAGAATGAACAGTATCACTGATATTGAAACAACATCAATAAATACAATTCTTTGTTTTAAAAGACCCACACAATATTAAGAAATAAAATTATCCATTAAAAAAGAAACCTCTTTTTTCCTAAAGGAAAAGGAAGAGTAGAGCTTGGGGCCATTGACTGAATTTTTATGTGTCAGCTGTCTACAACCTTTGTTAAGTTGGCTACTTTTTTTTTTTTTTTTTGGTGAGGAAGATTAGCCCTGAGCTAAGATCCGTTGCCGATCCTCCTCTTTTTGCAGAAGAAGATCGGCCCTGGGTTAACGTCTGTGCCCATCTTCCTCTACTTTACATGGGACGCCTGCAACAGCATGGCTTGATAAGCGGTAGGTCTGCGCCTGGGATCTGAACCTGTGAAGCCCGGGCCGCCAAAGCTGAACATGCGAACTTAACCACTACACCATCGGGCCGGCCCCCAAGTTGGCTACTTTTTATTGTTACTGTACCATGAATTATAGATATCTCATTAACAAACATGGATGAGAAAAGAACTGATATACTATCCATGATTTATCAATTTGATAACCATGTGAGCATTTTTGAGTAATTACTATTTATGGGACACAATGCTTTGCCTTTATGAAATTCAACATCTACTTGGTGTGACTGTATACACTCTAATAACTATGTCTTTATCTATTTATCTGTCTATTTAACTTATACACCAAACGTGTAGATGGTCAAGCAACATGTTGGAAGGGGAAAAGATTTAGAATGTGTAGTTCAATGTAAACACAAATGGTAAAAGGGCTGCTGAATTAATCATCAGGATAAGGTATGACTTACTGTAGCAGTCAGTTTTAAAACACATTTTCAAATATATCATAATGAATAAGAAGAACAAGAAAACCCTGCACTGACTTTGAGAGAAAATACTGCATTTTATTCTTCTTTCCATTCTCTAGAGCAACTAGCCTTGCCTTACACATAGTAGATGCTCAATAACCGTGTATTGGATGAATTCCTGACTGTATAGACACAGAGTGGCATGTAACATGAATTATGGAATAAAGAGAAACACATAGTCTTGAGGAGAGGGAGAGAGGACAGTAAAAAGTCTGTTTCACAGTGATTTCTCATTAATGATGATGCTACTCCTCTATCGACTGCTTAGCAGGGGGCTATTTGATCTGCTCTCTGCAGCAGGCTTATTGATTGTGTGGGTCAATGTAATCTGATGCATAAAGAACCAAGAAAGTGGGAGGTAGCATTTTCCTAGATAACTGTTAAGAAGCAGATAGTTTACATTTTCATGCATTAAGCCTGAGTGGCTCCCACATGAAGTTGAATTATTTGTAACAGCAATCCTAAAACTGGCAATTCTTTCTTTTATTAATAGGTCTGATCCTAGTAAAAGATTAGTTAGATTTAAAGAAATTTGAACACATATTAAAGATGGAATCTGTATGAGTACAAGATAAAAATTGCTTTTCTCTTTTTATTTACACTATCTGTGTTGTACACATATATATCAGGGTCTATTTACAGGGTCTTAGATCTTGGTGGCTCTTGGTTTCTATCTCCCTAAATACCCAATGCCTAACCATTTTTATTGTTAGTTAGTGCTCACATACACTAAATGTGAGTCCAAATGATTAACTCTGAGAAGACACCAACAATAAAACAACATCTTCAATGCAAACTTTCCAAACCAACCAGTCAAACAAAACTCCAGAAAAACAAACAAAAAATGCAAACACTTTTTATCCACGAAACAAACAAAAAATATTATTGAAGAGAATGAAACTATTGTATAAAAAAGAAGTTTGTGTTAAATGCCAGTTTTAATATCTCCAGCAGAGTTTCTAACACAATAATATTAGGCAATCACAAATTGCTTGTTTCTTTTCTCCCATCCCAGGATAGAACGCTCAATGTTACCTGCCAGAGAGGATCTTTTTGCTCTGGGAAGAGCTCAAAGTACTTGTGGGCTAGCTGCACTGGAGGCAGAGTTTGCAACTTCAGGTTGGTCCAGCTCTGCACGAAGTTGGCCAAATTCACAAAGGTATATAACCCTAGGCGGTCATTCCCGTAGTTTGACAAATGGGTCATGAAAATGCTGATCTGAAAGATAAATAAAAATGACCATAAAATATCATATGCATAAGCTCAAAAGCTCTACACAGCACCTCACCTAACCTTGGAATTTCATAAGAACTACAATTATCATTTTAGGTGGTGTTATAGACTGAATTGTGCCCCCCATCCCCCAATTCATTTGTTAAAACTCTAACCCCTAATGTGACTATATATATATATATTTTCTATAATTTTATTTATTTTCCCCCAAAGCCCCAGTAGATAGTTGTATGTCATAGCTGCACTTCCTTCTAGTTGCTGTACGTGGTACGCGGCCTCAGCATGGCCGGAGAAGTGGTGCGTCGGTGCGCGCCTGGGATCCGAACCCGGGCCGCCCGTAGCGGAGCACGCGCACTTAACCGCTAAGCCACGGGGCCGGCCCTAGACCAGTTCTAAAATTAAACACTTTTTCTGTATCTTTTTTTGCTTTAGATATATGTACAGGTTGAAATGGAATCAGACTCATAAAAACTTGTTTCTTTATGGTCTAATGAGGAATTTTTACTGCAAGAAAGAAACTATTAATGTTTGTATGGAAACTGCATTTAGCCAAAACTCTTCCATATTCATTAATCCTTTTACAATTTTTCCTATCTCAATATTCACTCGAAAAATATTATAGCGTTTCGGTATTGTACTTTTGTGGATCAGTGACTAGGAAAAAGTGAAATCTAGATTGATTGCTCTTGAAAGAGCACAAAGAATCTGAATGTGATTACAGACATGATCTCATATACAATCCATCAGAGATTACAGAAGAAATTAAAAAATACTAAATAAAGGAGAACTTGCGTAATCTTGATCTAAATTGCAGAGATTACTAATGTAACACATAAAAAGGGAGTTTATCATTTTCTACCATAAGCAATATCTTATACTTGTTCCTCAACTTCATATTATATTCATATATAAATATTTAAAAATTTTATTTTATTACTTATTATTTAGACATATAAATATTTCAGAGCAACTAGTATATTATAATTAAGTACCTTATTAAATTCATTAGAAAAGCAAGAGTAATATAAAGTAACAAATAATAACATTAAAGCAAATATAATGTGAAATTAACCAGAAAAATAATACCCACAGATCAGTATATAGAGGGAAAGTCAAGTGGCATGTGGCTAATTTTTGTATGGATGCTCACTGACTCTTGTTTAAGAGTTTATGTTTGCTGGTGTGCTTATTTGGGTTATTTGGGCTATTTTGGAAATAAAAGTGGGTTTGCAGTAACCATTCCAATATCATGGCATTGCAACCTAGTTAGAATTGTTAGGCATGCAGTAAAGTTTACATACTGTAGAACTTTTGTTCCCAAGACCTAACATGTCATTGGATAACTATAAATGCCCAAAGACGACACCTTTTGTCTTAAAAGTAATAGAACATTAGCTTGTACCAGAATTTTAAAAACAATGCTCTGGGAAGGTAGTGTAAGGTATAAGTTAGATATCAGGCTCATTAAATGCCCTTTTTACTTTGGAGAAAACATTCTTCTTCTATGTATTATACTAGACTGCAAAGGACTCTCTGAGGAAGCCCTATTAAGATGATTGGAGATCTCTTCACCATGGTTGAAGGTGGGGAGGAGAGTGGGAGAGCTGGGCCCATTGTCCTTAACATCCTTAAATTACATAAAATAATAGCTAAAAAGGATATAGTGCTTACTGTGTGCTAGGCATGAATCTAAGCCCTTTACATATAGGAAATGATTAAATCCTCACAACAATCTTATGAGGTAGGTATAGTTATTGCCCCCTTTTACAGATGAAGAAACTGAGGCACAGTTAAGTAACTTGCCCAAGTCCCACATCTAGTCAATGGCAGAGCCGAATTTAAAACCCAGGCGGTTTGATTCCCAAATCTGACACTTGATAGACCTGACACCCTCACCCAAACAGTTTTATTTACAGAGTTTGCATTCATCGTTTTTTTTCCTTTTCGTTTTTTGAAATTAAAAGATCAAGAATATCTTTCTGTAGAAGAAAGTGGAAAAATCTATGTATTATCTTGGCAGCTTAAAGTTTTTCTTTTAAATTGGAATGACAGAAGATAAATTATTTTTGGAATCTTAAACGAAGTATTTTAAGACAATGAATTACAGTATTTGAAAAGAATATTACTGATAGACTGCAAATTTATCTTTGAAGGCAGGATCATTCCTATCATATTTCCAGTCTATTTTTTCCCTGGGGTGTATTCAAATCTTTTAATTCTAAAGGTCAAAAAAGAGAAAGGCTATCTTAAAGAATATTCTTTACATAGCTTGTTTAGACAGAAATTCAAATTAAATTCCCCAAATGTTAGTTGATACAATGTTCTTACCCGAGATTCATGTAGAATCATTTGAACAGGCTCAGGGTATCTATGTCACTGATTTTTACACTGGCCAATCTCTCCCTCTCTTAAGCTCTTTTCTTCAAAGAGGAAGTGCCCTCTTGGCAGGACTTAATTACAGAGTTTCTAGAACGTAACATAGTATCAGTAGTTGATGGCCATATAATTGCAATTGTTGTCATGAGAACTTCTTTATAATTACCACAAAATAATATGCATTTGATCCCAATAAGTATGCATTTATCTCATGTCGCTACTGTAATTAAGAAATAAGACAGTGTAAGTAGTGTGCTTCAGGATAATTATAGTTTCTCAGGAAATTATTATGAAAAACCAGGCTGTAAGCTGAATGCCTGAAGAAATACAATAATGTCCTAGAAATCTACCACCTGCCCTCTGGCATTGTTATTTTAAGATGGAACTTTAAGGCACCTGTGAGTGTCTAATGTCTGACAAAATTATAAATAAAAATTCTACTTCGAGAGTATTGTAAAGATTATTTTTATAGCATGGGAAAATGCATATTATCATTTCATTAGGGTATTAACATAATGCTTTTAAAAGATTTTGTGGCAGACTAGTTCCAAGTCATGTATCCAGAATTTTGTTAGGAGAACAAGCCTTGTTTTCTGAAGGAAGTATAAAATTTAATGCAGGGCAAATGGAAAATCCGTCTTTGGAAGATCGCGGAGTCTGGAGATGTGTGGTTCTAAGCTGAGGCATGCTTCTGCATCTAAACATCCCTTTGCTGAGAATAAAAGCGAGCGCCCTGGTCCCGATGACTGCAATCACTGGTGGACGGGGCAGCATGTGTACATGCCTTACTGGTTAGAAACAATTTAGTGCTGGTATATGTCAATTGACTGCACTTTAAGAAGAAAAATTCTGCAAGCACAGCTTAACTGTGCATATCTGGCTTGCTAAAAGCACCTAATATGCAGACAGAGCATTTTAGTTTTAGTATTTCTGGACAAATGACTGTTTAAAAAAACAAAACCTACTCAGAGAATTTAGGGAGAATAAGACAAATTAAGATGGATAACGGGGCCGGCCCGGTGGCACAAGCGGTTAAGTGTGCACACTCCGCTGCAGCAGCCCCGGGTTCGCCGGTTGCGGGGCGTGCACAGACGCACCGCTTGTCAAGCCATGCCGTGGTGGCGTCCCATATAAAGTACAGGAAGATGGGCACAGATGTTAGCCCAGGGCCAGTCTTCCTCAGCAAAAAGAGGAGGATTGGCAGATGTTAGCTCAGGGCCGATCTTCCTCACAAAATAAATAAACAAATAAAAAAGAATGGATGTGGTTTAAGGAATAAAGAAAATCAAAGGACATGCAGTATGAAATAGTAGCAAATAAATAATTTCACAGACCTAATATATTGCTACTATTTTTTACGACAGTACATGTTCCTCTGTTTATCCTGTCTTTTTATTTATTTATTTTGATTGTTATTTCCTTATGTATGTAGTCAGAATACTCTACTCAGTACTCCCCAAAGCACCATCTGGATCTCTGTGTTACATCACTGCAAATTGTTTATAGATGCAACTCACTTTACCTACAAATATTGCTCAGAGATATGCATTGATTCAGACAAGCAGAGCTTTATCTCCTTGTGACAAAGACAGGCGAGGACATCACGTTCAGTGGGTGAGTTTAAGAATAAGATATCAGGTGCTAATATCAATAGGCCAACTGCAGCGTGCCTTCCAGAGGGGCCACCGAGGTCGGGGTGCCGTGGCTTCTGTCATCTAGCCGGCCTCTGGTCTGCCTCTGTCTTTGTCGTTTCTACATATGTCCCTCCCTCCACTCTTAACACTCTCAACTCCATTATAACCAACATGCAACAAGTTTAAATCCTTCCCTTCATCTTTTGTAAAAATAGAAAACCAAGTTTGAAGGCATTATCATGGTCTAATTATTCTATTCATTAGAAACACAAAACAGCGTTTCTTTAACCCAAATGCCAGACACAATATGCATATGCCAAATTTGGGAAGAGCATTACCTATGGAATAAATCCACTTAATGATGCATCTATAGTCCAAAGAAAAAGGAGGCTTTAAATATAGCAATGTATAAATCTTGACAATAGGGAATTAGATAAAAATAGTTGAACTCTATGGATAACCTTTAACTGTGGATAGAAGACCTGCCATAGTGACGGACAGGACAGCACTGTATAAATGTGGTAAGGTGGCTATCCTCCCCAGTGTTTAATTACAAGTTACACAATTAATTGTTTTACATAGCATTTCACTTGTCTCTTTCATGAAATTGCTAATACTGAAAATATAGGAGAAAGGAAAAAGGGGAAAATAAAATAAGAAATAAAGACCTTATTTTGTCCAAAGCATCCACAGCACAGTTCTTTTAAGATAAACGTTAAATATTAGCAGTCGTTTCCATTTGTGTCTCTGCAGCCCTGCCCCTTTTCAGAATGAGTTCATTGTGTTTAAAAATATGTCCATTAGCTTGTTAAATTATTGATTAGGCTTTTAGTTCTCTTAAAACGTGACGATAGATGGAATATAAGGGAAGGTGTCCCTAATGGCCCATCTGGTGGACTTTGCATTGTACTCATATTTTTCCTATAAAAGGCAATTTTGTGTCTTTATCTTATTCTGAATATAGGCTGGAACCAA